CAGCCATTTTGGAGACAGCGGCTGCCTATTTAAACAGGGCAGTTTGGCTGCAGGAGGTCAGGCAGCTGTGAATGACCTGGAGGAAAGGGGGAGCTGCAAGGGGATGGTAAGGAGGCTCCTGGTCCTGGGCATGACCTGAAACTGCACCCTGCTGGGAGTGGGTGGTCTGGTGGGGCTCTCAGTGGCGCGGGAGCCCCCAGAAAATGTCAGGCCAGTTACTGCCCCGGTGAAAGGCGGGTCGGGGCGCCTTAACCCCTAGCTCCCACCACCGGGTGGGTAACGCTATGTTTGGAGGGGCCCAGAGGGCGGACCCAGAGAGAGGGAATGATTACCGGGCATGATGCTGCGGTGAACCCCGGGAGAAAGGGGGTAGCAGTGCGATGAGCCCGAAGAGAGAGAGGGGCTAGAGACCCAGCCCGAAGGGGATAGTACACTCGACTGGCCCATGCTGGGGCCAGGACCAGAGAGGGTCAAAAGGGCCAGGGGCCCATCGCGAGGGATGCCCAAGAGCCAGGGGTCCCGACTGGCCTGGAGGTGGGCCAGGGCCAGTTAACCGAAGGTCCCGGGGGGACCATACCCGAGAGGGGAAAATGGCTTTGGGAGGGCTAGTAGCCCGGATGAAGGCGGAGAGGTCGCCTGATCAGGAGGGATCATAGAGGGGTCCTGTTTAGAAGATTCTGGGGCCCAGCGTGGGGGCCGGAAGAGATGAACACCATGATGCCACCTTTGAGGCTTGGGCTGCGGTATTAGGGGAGGTCGGAGCTGCAGAGCGCCCCCTGGCATCGGGGCATTAAAATGGGTAACCTCCTGCTTAATTAACATCGTAAATGAACTAATTATCATCAAAGGTGTGGCGGGCGAGACAGGCGGGTGGTTGCCCAGAGACAGGTGGGCAGGCCACGAAGAGCTCGGCTCTGAGTAGGCCTCCCTGTCACGGTGACAGGCAGGTGGGCCACAGACCTTCGGCCCCAGGAGGCCCCCTGTCACATTTACTATTATTATTCCTTCTCCTTGGCTGGTTTCGTAAATGAACTAATTATCATCAAAGGTGTGGCGGGCGAGACAGGCGGGTGGTTGCCCAGAGACAGGTGGGCAGGCCACGAAGAGCTCGGCTCTGAGTAGGCCTCCCTGTCACGGTGACAGGCAGGTGGGCCACAGACCTTCGGCCCCAGGAGGCCCCCTGTCACATTTACTATTATTATTCCTTCTCCTTGGCTGGTTCTTTTCTCCCTATTCTACCTCTTCTCACTCTCTCAGTTTCTGCTCTTTGCTGTCTGTGTTGTTTGTTACAAGTGTCAATGCCAGGGCTGGCTGAGCCCACCTTCCCCATTAGATACCAGCTGACATGCATGGCATCATATGCTTAGGCCTGTCAGTTGCCCTAGCTGTTTGCATTACCTCAGTGGCAATGTAACAATGGAACTGGCTGGACTCCAGCCCAGTTATTGCTGGAGCCTGCAAGCAATGGCTAATATACACGTACCATGTGAGCTACTCTCCCTCTGCACACTTCGTATATAGTGGAGTTTCAGTCTTAACTCTGAATTTCCTAGCATTTGTTGGTTTAAGCCAGACCCTGAGGGATTCATTTTCTGTGCAAAACGCAAGGATTTAGCCACACAGCCGATGTTAATGCTCATAGGATTTGCACAGCTAAACCCCCAATACCCAAAGTAAAACTTACTGCCTTATTGTATCTTAACTCTTTTGCTGCTCTATTGGTATTTCACAGGTAGCCATTAAAGTCGCATGTACATGATGATGTTCTATAGCATTCAGACAATCCTCAGAGTTTAGGGTGCTGCACTATAGTTCAGAGCTCACCAATGAGTTCTAGCTGTGGGATTTGAATGATAAGCTACATGTAATATATTGTGTATACAGAACATATTTCCCTTGGTCTTTCAGATAAACTTCCCAGACCTCCTGATTCAAATAGCTTTGGTTCATCATCCTTTATTTTGCTGTTATTTCACACGTGGCCTGATCTTGTGCCACTGAAATCAGATTAGGCCCTTCATTTATAAGCACCTGAGGGAAGGAATCGGGCTTATGTGTAAATAGCCATTCACCTCTGCACTGGTGTCCCACATCATACATGTTTGTGCCCATGAATGTCACATTTTTATTTTGGTCTACAATGAAGGAAAAATGCAATGGTTTAGTGACAGCAATAATTATAATACCTAGCTCTTCAGATCTGAAAGCTTGGGTTCAAATTTCAGTTGGAACATGAGTTAAATGTAATGGTGTTTGACCAGTGGACCTTTTTCCAGATCACACAACCAAGCAGCCAGTTCAGTATAACTTGATATTACTGATGTTTGCCATGAGAGAGCCTGGCTTGAAACAGCTGATGTTGTAATAGAGCATTATGCTTGTGCACTAGGGAAACTGTCTGAGAACCAGACAGTGGAACTGCAAGGGAATTTCAGACCTATTTTCATAGTTCTGTAGCAGTCCAAAACTGCAATAGTAGAAGATGCTTCAGTTCAGAGGAGTAACTCTGCAGTTCTGTGCTTTGAGGTACTGCAGCCAAGTTACTGGTGGCAGTGACCAGGCCAGCAGTGTGGCAGCTGCTATTTTTGCGCCCCCTCCCTAAACTGGCACCTGGGGCTGGTGCTCCTTACTTTTGCTGCTGCTTCAAATTAGGACTGAGAAGCACTCATAGAGCAATGTGGAAGAAATTTCCAAACACGTGACTGCATTAGGCCTGTATCCCTCCCAGTTGTTTTATGAACAATTTATAAAACTTCAGTTATTTGCCCAATGGAGAGTAATTTCCTTTGGAACTTAAATGTTCCACAGCTGAAACATGAATTTATGCTATTTATAAATAAGTAAATAAATAAATGAAAAATTTGATCTGATAGGAGGGGAAAAAATTCCTAGACCTTTTAATACCACTGCGTGGACTTTCAACAGGAATGATTAATAAATATTCCTCACAAAACTTTAGATTAGAGACATCACAATTTTAATATACACAAGCATATGAAAATATTGTAAGTTTAAGGGGAAAAGACAATGAGAATACTAATGATTTGGCTATCTTCTTTCAAAGATAAACAAACAAAATTTAACTGTGTACTAGGACAGTTAATTTTAAAGGCTTTGCTTATTTTCACATTCACATAGCCATAGACCAAACCCTACTACATTTGATTTTTTTTAAAAACCAGACAGACTTCGTTAGAAATAATTAAAATGCCCTGCCAGCCTCAGCTGCTGTACACATGGTTTCAACCAGCAATATTTTCTAAACAATGTATTGTCCATCTTTAAAAAAAAAAAAAACAACAACAACAACAACAAAAAAACAACAAAAAAAACCAACAAATTTAAGTGCCAAAAATCAATAGGGGCTGCAGGTGCTCAGAACCTCTGAAATTCAGGTTTATTCTATTTAAATGCTTAAATCTGGATTTGTGTCATTACTTCTTAGGGACTCGAATTTGAACATTTTGGCCATGATTCAAACAGGTGGTCAAATGGTTGCTTGCTGCTAAAAGACAGCGGACAGATAAGACTTTCTTATCCTCCTGGACTTCTCTGCAGCAGTCAACACTGTCAGACATGAAATACTGCTGTCCTGCCTGAAAAAGGTGACAAGGAAAATGCACTAAAATGTTTTAAGTCCTTCCTGGAAGGATGCCTGCAAAGAGTGGGACACTGTACCTTCACAATTTCAATCTCTGTCACAGTGACTACATGAATAAATTAACTACAAGACTGTCCCATCCTGGTAGATGGTGGCCTGGTCTGTTATTCATGCTTTTGCCACCTCATGGATGGACTACAACACTGGAATGCAATCAATATGAAGCCACCAACCTTTAGGAAACTCCCATTAGGACTGCACACTGTAGTATGCCTCCCCAGCAACACAGGTTTCTGTGAGCACATCAAATCTGTCTTCTGCTCTCTACACTGTCATCTTGCAGAATATTAAATTAGGGTCAAGGTCTTAGTCTTTATTTTTGCCAGGCCTGGGCCCAGCATATCTAAAAGATCACCTAAAGCTCTGGGGTGAGGATCATGATTAACTCTATCCCTTAAGCACAGTGGCAGTTTCTAAGGAAAAAGCTTGTCTGTGCAGAAAACAAAACTATCTCCCATCTTGTCTAGGGCTGAGTAATAAACTCTTTTAGGAACTAAGGACTAATCACAAACCTCCCCCCTTCCTGCTCCAAATAAAAGGAACATTTATTTGGCCTGCCCTACACATAACAGTGTATTTGTTAAATAAACAAATAAATAAATAAAGCACTCTCAGTTCTGCTGCTGCTGTTAAAATGAGAGAGAGAGAGAGAGAGAGAGATCAAAACACATGAGAGATGTTAGTCACATTACTTGATGCCCTACTGAAAGATGCTCAGATACTATGGTGACTGGGGTGGCATTACCATCTGTATACAGGTTAGAATGGGACTTAAAGTAGATACGGTAGCTACTGCAGCACAGTGAGCACAGAATCATAGAAATGTAGGGCTGGAAGGAATCTTAAGAGGTTGTCCAGTCCACCCTGCTTGAGACCATCCCTGACAGACATTTTGTCCAATCCAGTAAATAAATCTTTAATGAAAGAGATTCCACAATCTCTGTATGTGGCCTGTTGTGGTATTTTACCACCCTAAATTAGAAAGATTTTCCACTATCTAACCTAAATTTTCTTTCTTGCAAATTATGCCGACCTCTTGTCCTAATCAACTGACCACTACCACCTTTATAATCTTTCCAGTACTGGAAGACTGTTATGTCCTCCCTCAGTCATCTTTAGGCTAAACAAACCCACTCCCTTCAGCCTTTCCATATAGGTCCATGCATTCTAAACTTTTGGGTTTTTTGCTCTTTTGTGGATTTTCTCCAGTTTTTCTACAGCTTTTTTAAAATGTTGTGCCCAAAAGGAGACGAACACATTATTCTAGCAGAAACCTCACCAGTGCTGAGCAGAGTGGAACAATTACCTCCTGTGCCTTATATACCAGGCTTTAGTTAATGTATCCCAAAATGAGATTTGCCTTTTGCAACAGAAACATACTTTTGACTCATGTAGTCAGTGATTTTACAATCCCCAGGCCTTTTTCTACTGTTCTATTGCTTAATTGTTTCTCTCCCATTTTGTAGTTGTGTATTTGATTTCTCCTTCATAAGGTTATGAACAAATAAACTTAACACAGTGACTTGAAAAAACGTTGAGGCTGTCTCTGGTCTTTCATGGTGATAAGTGAAAAGCTAAATCAGGGCAGCTTAAATTTCTGCGAAATGGGGCTAAACTGCCCTGTCTTAATTTTCACTTAACACAGGGTAGAAATGGAGCAGATGACATGCAGTGAAGGCCTGACCCCTTCTAACTCCCTGTAATTTGTTCATATCTGAACATGGTGCTTTGACTGTGTCCTTCCTGAATTTCATCTTGTTCATTTCAGAGTTTCTCCAATTTGTTAAGACCATTCTGAATTTCCATTCTGTCCTCCACAGTGCTTGCAACCCCTTCTCTCAGCATTTTTGTCATCCACAAATTTCATAAGTATACTCCCCCATCATCCAAGTCATTAATAAAAATATTGTACAGAGTGCTCCCAATCCATCCCTATGGTATCCTAATATATCCCTGTGGTACACTACTTGAAATGCCTTTCCATAGCAGACCACTGATTTTTGTTGTTGTTTGCGTGCTGTGCACCTACCCTATGTGTGCACTTCTAAGCTAAATTTCCTTAGATTGCTTATGAGACTATTATACTACAATTAATTGATCTCCCTTATCCACTGAGGCATTTACTCTGTCAAAGGAGGAAATTAGATTGGTCTGATGTGATGCCTTCTGACAAACCCATGCTCGCTGTTTTAATCACCTTATGTCTTAGGTACTTACAAATAGATTTGTTCCAGAATCTTTCTGGGGAGCAATATTAGGCAGACGGGTCTATAATGTCTTGAGTCCTCTTTGCCTTTTTTTAAAGGCAGGCTGTATATTTGTTCTCCTGCCCTCTGAGATCTCCCTCGTCTTCCACGAATTCTGATATAATCACCAATTCCGAAATTACTTCAGCTACTTCCTAAAGCATTCGAGGGAGAATTTCATTGTGTCCTGCTCTCTTTAGAACACCTATCTTACCTCACTTTTCTTTGGCACGTCCTTTCCCTATTCTAGCTGAAACGCTTAATTTCCTAGATGCTTAAGTACCTGGCTCGGGTTAACCTTTCTTTGGAAGGACTGAGGCAAAGAAAACATCTACTCCTTTAGCTCCCCCTGCTTCCTCCCTCATTAGCTCTCCTTTCCCACTGGAAGCCTTGCTCTGTCTGCTTTCAGACTTATGTGGCTTGGTGAAATAAGGCGAAAGTACAAAAACTATACATCCCTGTGCCTTCCCAGTTTTCTTGTGCATGTATAGACCCTCCTCCTCCCCACTTGCTGTCTTGCTACCTGAAACGCTTTCTGTGCCTGAATCTTCCTGGTGGTATCCCTCACATGGGGGGTGGGAGGCATTTCTTCAGACTGCTTCTCTCCTTACAGTCTTGGTTTTCCGTCTGTCTGGTTCCTCGCTCAGGTCGTGGGTAAGGTGTCTATCATAGAGGACAGTCCGGTTGTCCTCTATTGATACAAAACCCCACGCCTTTATGTCCTCTATTTTTCTAGAGGACACAAAGGCGCCGGGTTTCGTGTCGATAAAGGACGGAGTCGTGGAAAACCGAAATGTCCTTATGATGGCCACTCTAGTGGTGGGAAGGGCTCCTCACACAGCCCTGGAAGCTCCCGAGCCTGGCTTTGCAATGGCAGGTCAAGCTGCAAGTCCCCTCTCTCCTCCCCCCGGGATGCTGGGGGCGGGGGCTGCCAGGCAAGGAGCTCCCAGCCGCTCCCCCCCCGCCCCGGGCGCTGCCCGCCCC